AGAGGGAGTTTAATATCGAGAGAAGTTAACAAGCAAGAGAGAGAGAGAGAGAGAGAGTTGCTCTTGTTTCATGTTTATCTTCGAAATTATCGTGCATACAACGAAGCGTTTTTTCTTCCCCCTTTCGATTTTCTTCTCTTCTATCGAGTTTATAAATCGTTCCAACAATCGTGTCGTTGAACTTTGTTATTGAATGGTGTGCTAGTTGCTAAAAAGAATATAAGAAAACTAATGATCTTTGATCGAGAAGGATCTCGAGATTGGGCAAGAAACGTGGAAAGGAATTAAAAATTTTATATTACTTTTCGACTCGTTCGCGGAGATTCAAAGATTCAAGGTGCAGAATTTATGAATGGATCCATTTTCCGGGAATCGAAATGTTTGTGCTTTCAGATCGGCGAAACGAGAGATTATAAAAGAATTATATTAAGATAAATATGTTGATTGGAGAAATATCGCAACTTATAATTCCTGACACGTAATTTACTTTTTTCAATCGCATCCTTATTATTTCCCTTTGCCCCGTTTATTATAAACAGATATTATAAACAGATCAAACTTTTCGTATCGCGCATTATTAACGGGTATTATTAATGGAAATAGCGTTTAATCAGATTAATGCCAGATTAAATATCCATATTTGCCAATATATTATTCGTGCGCCTCCTTTTCGAAAATTTCACCGTATTTTCCTCCTTTAAATAATTTACCATATTTCCTATCCTCGCGCACATCCGATCCTCTTTTTTTCAATCGAGAATCGAGTATTTAAACAAAAGGAAAAAAAGTAGAAAGAAACACGGAACACGATTCGAAATAATATCTTGGAACCTCATCAAATGAACGCAATTAATTCCACGCCCGCAATCGAATCTTGGTACGGGTGGCGAAGGGCTAATTAAAATCTCGTTCGTCGAAATTTTCATACAAACGCGCGTATATACACACATATCACATATATATATATACACGCGTCTCTCGAGCCCCCGTTTCTCGAAATTTAATCGCGCTTCATTCTCGTTTTACGCTACGCGCATTCCCTAAAACCAGCGCGGAAACTCGTGCTCGCGAAATTTCAGTTTACCAGTCAAATTTCGTTGGAGCCTTGTCAACTATATCGCCAACCTCAACCTCTCCCTCCCAACCGCTCACTCTAGCGCGTGAAAAAGGAAGTTTCGAAAAGCATTGGAATTCTCCTCTCTGTCATACACTCGGCCGAGCAATTTCGTAAACTCTTGTACTCGCGGAGAGGTTAAATTGCACGTCCACGCAACGGCGACGCGACTCGACGCGACGCGTTGGCGGAATTGTTTCAACCTCGTTTCGCTCGTCGAATCCGATCGCATGCGCGCGTCGAAAAAAGTTACGCGATTGGCGCGCAAGAAAAGCGTTGACGAGCGAGACCGTGGCGCCGCAATTGCGGATCTCCGCCGTATTAAACCGAGGACGACCGAGTCAGCACAGTACGCCGTGTATTAATAATTTCTAACCGAGGTTAGATGGAGGGGGGTGGGGGAAGAGGAGGCGGAGTTCGAAGTTTGGTGGAATTAATTTGAACGCCATTTGCTGGTCGCGTCTTGCCCAACCGGTAACCGGCCAAGTAACCGAGTAGACGTAATTCCGTGGATTCGAAGCTTATGTATCCCTCCCCTCCTCTTCTTCCTCTCTCCTCACAGATCGCGCGACCCATGTCCGCTATTACGCTCAGCAGAATCGCCGCCGCCGCTCGTGAATATCCCGTTCCGTTTCGGTAATGCAGCTTCGTATTTTCTTGCGGATTTCTGCATTATTCACGCGCGGACATTTGAACGCGCGGTCTCCACCGATTTCTTCGTCGCTCTTGCGAGTGAAAGCCAGAGAAAGAGAGAGAGAGAGAGTATCATATGTACATATATATATATATATATATACACCTTTTCCTAGCAACTTTTCGCCAGGAAATCTCAGTCGCTTCTTGCTAGACGAATATTTGTCAACGAGATTCTATCGATGTTTAAGAATTCGAGGAATGGGAGAAAGAAGAGGGGGGAAAGGAGGGAGAGGTGAAAAGATCGTATGGGAACGGGAGACGAAAATACGAGGAGATATATAGTTTGAAAAATTGTTGTTGGCTGCATACGCGAAGTTTGAGAAGATTTTTAAGAGGAGAAAAATTTGAGGGGAGAAAGATTTCGTCACGATTCATCTGACGGTGATTGCGTTATGCGACCACTCGTCATTGATCGTTTACATTAATTTGCGTTATCCTGTTGTTATCGATTGCAGTATGGGGAGTAATCGAATTCGTTTCGCGTTTGGACGAGACGATGAGCCGGCCGCGAGTTGGCGTTGCGATCGATATTATAACGATCGAAAAGCGGCGATTGGAGGATAATGAGAAGAGAAAATTATATTTTTAATAATATCGCGATGTAATTCTATATATTTATCGTATTCAAAAATACGATAATTCGAAAATAAAAAAACGTCATTTTTGACGTCGATGAATTTTAATTTCGAACAGCCGTATGAAATTTATTTATTTCCCTTGAACACGAGATATTATCGCGTAATTA